AACGGAAACAAATTATTCACCGGTCAATTATACATCGCTATCTGGTGTCTGTGATCCTTCGACAACGCTTCGGCAGCATTCATCTCTCTTTTTCGTGTTTTTTCGCAGAGGGTCGATTTACGGTCGATGAAGACAGAAAATCGAAGCCCAATTTGTTGACTGACTCAATATTCGAAAGCTTTGCGGTATTCAAAAGCGTGCAAGATATCAAGTCAAGCAGCGCCATCGTCGGATTTTTTACGCGACAATTTAATAGGAGAATAATAATAGGAGAATAATAACATTTCACGAAGGCATGATACACGTCGAAAAATTGTTTTCAGCCTTTAAGATATCGTTTTCTTCCATCAACCGACCTTCCCAACGCTCTCTCTCTCTCTTTCTCTCTCTTTCTCTCTGACGTAATGAATATGTTGATTTTCTATGGCTTTCAAACCTCGTGCGCGCTTCTCTCTTTTGTATTTTCATGAGCTCACCGTTTCTCGAAAAACAGCGTTAGATAGAGCAGCGCTTGCGATCGTAGCGCTTCTCATAGTTTAAGTTAATCTAAGTCTCTCGACTCGTCGCGACAGCGTCTCGTCACATAGACTGAGAATCCTTTACGATATTCTTCTGTATCCAGACTCCGTTGTGTCTCAATATAATTATATCTTTGCTCTAAGTGTGTCGAACCACTGTAATACCTCAATAGAATATTAATTAATATTAACACGTTGACTACCAACTACGAGATATCTCGTAGGTTGTTTACTTGCCAAGGACGCCAACAACGAGTTATCTCGTCGCTTCATTACTTGATTAAATCAAATTGGCTTCTTAGACCAGAATCGTGAAAAGTTCCGTGGCAGTCAACGTGTTAATATTAGAAAGACCGAGAAACTCTTAGGCGTTTATCGTTTCTCTGAAGGACGTTATTATTGCTTTGTAGATTAAAATTTCATAATGGTAAAAACCTGTGATGACTCTTAATAGTATGATTTTACGTGATTGAATGATTTAAGATCCCCCTCAAGATATTAAAGCACTCGATCATGTAAAATCAGGGATATCAATTTCGATAACTTTGGCACTGTGATGTTCCCTCGAATTATCCTCAAGCCAATCATTAAAACGGTGATTTTGAAATATAAAATTCATACGATCAAAAATTCTCGAATTCCCGGTAAAAGCGGAGGAGGCGAATTTAAAATGTTCAGACAAACTTCTCTCGAGATTATTCGATATACAATATTAAGCAATAATAACACAGGTCGACAAAAGAAATTTTTATCAAGTAACTCTAATCAGAATAAGCATGTCTTATAGATTTTTGATCGCAAAAAACAATACCGCTGACCAAACTATTACGTCATATCTTGAAGTTATTTTGAATTTTAAGAGAAATCAGTAATTCATAGAAAAAAATGTATAATATATCACTAACCGTTAATAAAGCAATAAAAATAGGTGAATGTTTCATTTACATATTGATTTCTTATCAACAAAACGAACAAAGAGATAAAAACCGCCTCAAATATTATAGCAAAAATATTTGTTTGTTAAATATTAAATATTTGGTTGTTACAATGCGTAGAAAAGCAGGCACTTTTTTGTGTTTGGCAAGATTAGCAAGAACGAATAGTCGGATCTCAATGTTATGGATTCCATTTCTCTTCATAATAAAACCTTCTTGATATTTTATTAAAAATATCTGGAAAAAGTACAATTCTGAAATGGCCGATAAAACAAATTTTTCACAGTAAAAAAAGTTTTATTAAATCCTAATATAAGAAATAGGCTTTCTTAAAGTGCTTTTGTAAATAAGTCACATTCGAATTTTAACATTTTAATAACTAGAATGTGTTTAGTCGATAAGTAATAGTGAGTTATCACACGATATTTTTATGAATCGCTGATTTCTCATCTTAAAATTCAAAGTAACTTTAAAACCTGACGTGACCGAAAATCTGTAAGAAACACCTACTCTGATTAGAGTTACTTGACAAAAATTTGCTTGTCGGCCTGTGTAATTAGGACACGCTACATATAAAGAACAAAGCCGGTCGTGTCGGAGGGTCATCATCCCAAAGCAACGAGGCAAAGAGGCGTTCATAAAATATTCCTACATTAGTTAGCGGCATTATTTAATTAACAAAGTCGGTTCCACAAATCGCTCAGCTGCGAGCTTCTTCTAATCTAATTTTAACCTACTTTGGAATTTATTCGTCTTTGCTTTAACTTAGTTCAGTCCGGGGTAATCGCGTCTCTCTCTCTCTCTCTCTCTCTACCTCGTCGAGTCTTACGCGACGCTTCATAAAGCGCAACGCTATTCTCAACTAGAAAATCCAAGGGCTCTCGCCGTTCTCGCGACTTTCGCTCGTCGTTCTCGTTTCAACAAAAAAGTAATGTCGCGAAACGATCATCGAAATCGCGATGTAATCGTCGGAATCGCCGTCGCCGACTTCGTTTTCTCGCTCCTGCGGCGAGCTGCCGATGATAAAATTGCAGCGCGAATCGATCGGGAATTTTTATCCAGCGTAGCGGCGAAACGAACGTCAGCGACCGCGCGCCCCTCTTAATTGTAAATAAAATCGCGAGACAGCGGGGATCGCCGCTCGATCTCGCCGAATAAATTTATTCAGGGCGATTGATCCGCCACGCGGTATGAATTTTCCGCGACACGATGGATGAACGAGGACGGGGACGAACGAACGACCGGGACGGACGGACGGTCAGGCCGACGGACGGACCGGAGGGAGTCCCGCCGGCAGGCAGCTTTTTGTTGCCCGACGAAAACTTTAATGGAAAGATTACAACCGAATGACAGTAAACGTAACGCAAATTGAAACGTGAATGAGATCGCTGAAAGACTAATAAGTATAGCGATTGGATAATATCCCGGCGGCGATGCGCCTCGAGGCTTCCAGCCATTTGCCACTTATCCCAACTTCGCGAACAACGATTGCGACGACGACGACGTAATTGCTGTTTATGTTCGTGATTCCCGCGAACATACTCGAACTTTAAAGAGTGTTCTCTCTCTCTCTCTCTCTTTTCGTGTGCCACCGGTTCGATAGTGATGCCATGCACTATTGTCTCTATCAATCGATTCCTTTTGAAAAGCCTCGCAATGGAGCATCGGGCAACGCATCGCGAACGCTCGTCTTCGTGGGAGTCGTCTTCGAATCGAAATGTTGGTTCTACGTTAAACCTTTGATTTTAGAACACAGTATACTGAGAAAAAAATGTATGATATTTGGAACGATAATGACATGGTCAACAAATCACAACCGAGAAAAGCATAAATGTAAATGTTATTGTAATATGGATTGCAATTATGAAATAAATTCCGAGTAACCCATGTGAATTGTTTGCCATGAATTATAATCATTTTAAGTGTAATTATTGTAAAGTAGCAAATATGGAATGGTAACAAAAATTGACTTTGTAGTCAACGCAATCGTAATAAATAACAAATAATACTATGTGTGACAACATTCTTAAGACGCTACATTCAAATAACATTTACTTGATCCAAATGAGATAAATTACTCCAATATCCCTCAGCAAATATTTACTTGGACGTAGCAACTTTCTTTTTCAGTATAATAATATAACTTACTCTTATTTGAACCTGATGTCTTAAATTTCTGTTTTTGTTATTTCAACGTCAAAACGGGGTTATTCAAGGTAACGTTAAAATTAAATCTGTTGAATTAAGGGTTCAAAAGAGAAGTTAACAAGCGTCGATGTCGCCAAAATAGGTTTTCATTAGTCTATCAGCTAAACACGCGCAAGCTATCTTTAAGAGTGTCAAAGTGGCATAAAAATTTCGATTTAGGAAGGTCGTTCGCAACGTGGAACGTCGCGCATTTCGAAAGCGAAGCTCGTCCGTGAGACGCTCGGCTCTTGATGAACACTTAAATTTATTCCGAGTAATCACGAGCAATAATTATCGAGTCGCTCGGCCGCGGAGACAGCTCGAGAGAGCCGTGACGAAGCAATCGAAAACGGAAATAGGTAATAGACGAGAGATCTGATTCGTCGATCGATCGTCTCTCCTAGGGTCATTGAGTATTTTTTTGTTTATTCAGGAGAAGCAGGATTGTTGTGAATCTCGGTGTTCTTTGTCGGTCACACGTATAGTAATTATGTACGCTTCGTTGCGAATCGGTGTCGCTAGCGTAACTTCGCCGCAGAAATTTCTCAAGATCTCCCCAGGCACGGCAGAGATTCCGGACGGATCGCCGAAATTTCTCCCAAAATAGGTTACTACGCTGCGTGATACCTGCCGGAAATTCTATCCAGATACAGATTGTCTACGATCGGAACGGAAACTCGTGTTTTGTTTTTTTTTTTTTCAGATGGTCCGATTGGTAAATTTTTATGGAGTCGAATGAGGAATTTGGTTTTTATACCAGTTATTCGATGAAATAAAAAATGAAAGTTACATACGTCGATCGTGATATTCCTCAATCATTACGCGTCGATTAAGACGGATAATAGAGAAATTATTGGCTTCTTTGGCTGAATGTTACAAAGGAATATAACCTTGTATGGAATTAATATCGAAGGAAATTAACACGAGCCTTTTTAAATAACAAATCTGCGACGAATATTCTCTTTTTCAGCGGAAATTCTCCCAAATTCCCACGTAACTTTTCCCATTTCCGTCCTCCCTCTTGTCAATTTCTCGTTTTCATTTACCTTTCCGCGTCTCGTAAAGTTTGCCGAATAAATCTGAAAACGAGAAAAGATCTTTTCGAGGCGACGTCGCGGGGAGCAAATTGGATCTGCTCGGATTTCCCGCTCTCGGAGAATCGCGTCTTTGAGATCCGGGATCTTCGCGAAATTCCCCAGCTGGAATCCGTAATTTTTCGGACAAATCAGCCCGCGCGACCGATTAGTCTGCCGGGAAACGTCCCGCGCTTGTCGCACGATCGGACGCGAAAGCGCGACGACGCGCGCAATCTGCGACACGTCGTTTTCACTTTAAGTTTATAAACACGCTCCTGTTTCAGGATCATGCAACCAGTCCTTGGGGATGGAGTCGGGTGACATACCGGATTCAGCTATCACTGCGTCCTCGTCGTATGTGACGAACGTCGGACCGCGAAATGGCCGGTGAGTGCATTACTTTTACGACGTGCCCCTTTTCGCGACGTTAAGAGAGGAAGAGGGAAGGAAAGAGAGAGAGAGAGAGAGTGTGAGAGGGGGGAGGGGGGAAGAGATAGATACGCCACACTAACCGTTTTAATGTAACGCGAGTAGGACACGTCCGACAACGTCCGGCGAACGGGTGTCATCATGGCGAGTTCCAACGCGCGTTGCGAGATCGCGAGTGTCACGCATTATTTTCCGCTCGCTTCTTCGCGAATATCGCTGTCCCACCTATATTTCACGCTTGCGTCCGCCCGCCCTGCCGACCGCTCGCGGCAGGGCCGTTCTGTTTATAACTCGACGACTCGCCATTCATCTCTATCTCGGCGCTATATATCCGCGGAAGTTTACTTTTTCCAACAGAGCGCGCGACAGCGATATTGATTCGACGACACGACGCTCGCCGGGCCGGGAATTTAACTTATTCAAACCTAATTTTCTTCGAGTTATATGCCGGGCGCGCTTGCGACTGTCAAGCGGCGCAATCGCGCGCTTCTTTCTCTCTCTCTCTCTCTCTCTCTCTCTCTCTCGGCCCGAGAGAAGCGGCAATTACGTTTTATATAAAGAGAGGGAACACACAGACCGAGGAAGACGGTGCGGCATTTTTAAGTGAACTGTAATCTCCGCCCCGGCGAGAACGATCGCGCTTTACTACGATTTAATTCGGTCGTTATATATACTTCGCGATTAAAAAGGAGAAAGAGGAAGGGAGGGAGAAAGAGAATGAGGGAGAAAAAGAGGGAAGGAGAGATAACGTGACGCCGCGCGTTGTCGAATGTGTAACACGTGTGACGGCTTGTTTTCGCTCGATTGATCGATTTATTTACCGACGCCCGGAAGCGGACGGAACGAGGAAATTGGAAAAAATTAAGCTTTTCGTTCGACATATGGCGCGATAATACGTGAAACAAGCGCTTCGCGATCGATCGTCGGGAACGGGGAGCACGAAAATTCCGCATGGAAATTTCTCAAGATTTTCCAACATTGAGAAAAATATCCAACCATGTCTGGTCGGATAATCCAATTAAAAAGTAACAAACGGATATATCCGATCAAGTGGAATGTCCGATCGTTTCGTCGTTTCATCCGATCAAATCCTGCATTTATCCGATAAAAATCACAACATACAAAGGGCGGCTAATTTTCCGATTAGGTAGATCGGTAATTGCATCGGTAACTTCATCGAATACTTCATTGGATAAAGATATTCATCACTTGATCGGACAATAAAAATTACAATCAGATACATCGGTTTAATCGGTTTATCCGATGGAAATTTTTCTCAGTGTAGAATTTACTGCGTGAGTTCTGCTCTAGAATACCTAAATTTGTCTCGAAAAACAAGTATGAGACAAAGTAAGAAAATAGCGAGTCAGCTTCAAAAAAGTAAAGAAAAAATGAGCTCCTTCCAAATAATTTGTACGTGAAAAATTAAAGTGTCTATCTCTATTTACCATTTCTTTAAGAGATTAAAAATACTGACTTTATAGCAAAAGCCAATGAAGAACAAAATTTAAATTTGGCGAACAAAAAAGTTACATGATGCATAAAATCTAAAATTTACTTTAGACTCAATTTAGGTACATTTAAGTATTCATAGAACATCATTAAGCTCTCCACAGAAATGAACGGAAATTAAATTCGTTATTTCTCCAAACATGTTTAATGAAATAAAATTTAAAAAAACACTACTTGAATTCAATTAAGCTAACATTGTAATATATTTCCAAGAAATGTAGTTGAGACAGACTTTTTTTTATCAAAGATATTTTTTTGTCAAACAAAAACAAATTGTAAAAATAAGTTAAAAATTACGAACTTTTCCGTTGAAAACAGACTAATTAATCAACTTTTTAAAAGTAATATTCAAAAGAAAATTATATTCAATAATATGCAATTTAAAGGAAACACAGGTGTGCTCCTCACGATTATTGTCTGTTTTCTTAGTTTCGTTTGTTAACAGTTCATTTTGGCTTGGTGGAAAACAAGAATAATAGATGGACAAATCGTGGACAATCGATTCTATTACGTCATTTAAAGAAAACACAATCAATTGTGCTCATGCTGGTTCATTGTGGGATACCGAATAGAAATCCTATTCTTGTTCCAAATATGAATTCTCTATCTAGAATGGGAGCAGAAATATTGTGGAAATTACATTTTTTTCTTTTAGCGTGTAAAATCGGGGTATTCTTTTACGGAATCAAATAGAGAATCTCATTCTAATATTAACTATTGACTTATACAGAATAAAAAATTTAAAAAATATAAAAAATTTGAAACACTTTAACCTTTTCAGGATCACTGACACGTATGTGTACACGTTTAGACGCATTCAATTTTTTCCTTTTAATTCAAACACTGTCGACAAAGATATAACGAACAGTACTGTGAATAAACATTCGCCGGCAAAATTTCCAGAAGGAAATGAGAAATCTCAATGCACTTGTGCCACTGAAAAATAAAATCGTTTTTTCTTCAATTTAGTAAATTCGCTCTTAAAAAGATTAATCATTTAAAATATTTTTTTAATATTTATACAAAACGTACGTACTCAAAGCGTGTCAGATTTCATTCTCACATAAAATAGAAACCATCAATATCTTTTGGAGAACTTTGGGAAGAGAAAATGGAATTTCTTAGAATTTCCGTCTTGGAATAGCGCGCTTGAAACGCTTCACTTCCAACGCGAATCTGTATGAATTTCCTAAGCGGAGACTTTAATTTTTTTCGGAAATCTCACCGGACTCGAAGCAGATCCCACGAAATTTTCCACACGGGAAACGTCTCGCGGCGTCTCGCGGTCGGTCGTCAGGGTCGGGCCGCGAAAAGTTCTCGCGAGAGAACGGGACTATGTCGTTGCAATTAAGCGAAATTTCCTACGATATGTAAATCGCACGAGACGGATTGGGCAGATTATTACGGGGATAATTAAAACAGTGATAAAGGCGGTCATTGATCAGCCGTCAGACGCGCCTGATAAATGAGGACCGTTCGAAGCTTCGAACACGTCAAATTGCCGGTCCGAAGGAACCTCCCGTGTACGCGTGTCAGTGTCTATATATATATATGTGTGTGTGTACACAGACACATCCACATATACCCACATATATATATATAATGGAAGTATGTAAAGGCAGCCCGACGAAAGGAGCACCGTACAATGTTACATGTATATATATACAGGGTATCTGATAATTTTCTCGGGATCCGTGATGTGTAGGTAGATCGGATGAAACCGAACGGAAAAGTCGTGTACCATTTTGCAAAATTTGCGCGATAGTTAATGAGGAATTAATTATTCCGTATGAGCCAATGAGCGCACGGGAAGCGGATTCTATATAAGCTCGCTCGTTATTAGTTGATCCCCATCGTTGATGGATCTTCAGAAATAAGCTATTTTTCTTTACACAGAGTCCGGCCTACCGTTTCCCTGCGCTCATTAGCTCACACAGATTAATCAATTCCTCGCTAACTATTGCGAATATCGCAAAACAGTACGGGACTTTTGTGTTCACCTCAGTCGTTTACGTCTTCGTTCTGCAAGCTTTGTCCGTGTTGATCTGGGACACCCTGTACATATTCATCGGTATATTGTCGGAGAATGTAAAGATTCGATAATAAAAGTACGGGGCCACGGCCGCGGGACATTGTTCTTTCATTGTTCGGCAACGAAGTTTCGCAACGCGGAATCTGGGTGTGCAATCTTTAACGAAACGAAAAATAGCTCGATGTTATGCGAGATAGCGATAGCGGGAGCAAGAGAAAACGCCACGGTTCTTTCCCTCTCTCTCTCTCTCTCTCTCACCTGGTCGGTCGGCTTTGTAATATTAATAGCGAGTGCTCCGCTCGCCTAGTTGACACTCCACACACGTAGAGAGTTTTCGCGAGTACGTCCCGCACTTTGTTTCCGCGATTCGCTTAATAACGCGAAGCTCCCGCGGCGGCCCCGGCGGCCATCGATACGAGCGTCGCCGAACGTCGCGAGAAACGCGACGATAAAGTTCTTTCATGATAAGAGGAGCCGAGTTACGCGGCGGAGTCGACGTGGCGCGCAAACGCTATCCGGAAATCAATCGTCGGCGAGAGGTGGCCCGGAACGAGGTGAAATCTTCTCGATCTACGGCGAAGTTAACTTTGTTATTAAGTACGAGGCGGCACTCGGCCAGAAGTGGCCGAGGCAGCGCGGACTTTTATTACCGCCATTTAACACAAACGTAAATAATCGATGCGAAACGTGAGGAAGAAATAGAGATAGATAGAGAGAGAGAGAGAGAGAGAGACTGGAAACGGCGCGGAGGAGGAGCAGATTGAGGGGAAAGAGAAGCAGGAGGGAAAGCGTGAGTGAATCACGGATTCACTGTTTAAGTACACTTTACGGAACATGGAAGTTCTTAAAACCCAGAAATGGTCTTGCGAATTGTTCTTCGGAGTTCGCGGGGAGTACGGACGGAACTGCGCGATATAATTGCGCGGGCGGACTTTTTACGCCCCGGCAAGATGGTAAAACGATAATTCCGTGGCATTTTCGAAATTAAAAGTCTGTGGTTCTGTCCTACTACTATGAGCGCGCGAAACCCTCCTCTGCAAACTCCGTAGACCGTGCGATAATCTTCCTCTCTCACTTTTGCAAATTGCGACGGACTTAATATCGCATTATGATCGCAGTATTCGTCACATATATTTGTATCAAATTGCACGGCTGTCCTGCGCTAAAATAAAATTATCATATGTTAAAAGAGAGTTATAAAATTACGCACATTATTTATACATAGCGAAATATTTTGTGTGTTAGAAACGGTCCACTGAAATTTTGCGTTACTTTAACATGAGGAATTTGTTAAAAATGTACAAATATATGTTGGAAAGTATACAAATATAATGTTAAGTTAACATATTCAAATATAATTTAACAAATTTGTGTATTTTTTAACACATTCCCCAAGTTAAAGTAACACAACATTTCAGTGGACCGTTTCAAGCACAAAATGTTTTACTGTGTGGCGCAAAATTCCGGGATGATAGCACACTGTACAAGGTTATTATCAGTGAGTAAACGTGATATTAACGAAATTGCATCATTGGTATCAATGCGCGAATGGGTTTTTTTTTTACGGCTGGCAAAACGGCAAAACGACGATTTCGTGACATTCCCGAAATTAAAAACTCGAAGTTCAACCCTCCCGCGACTCCTCTTCCACAAACTGCAGACTGCATTCGACAATCTTTCTCTCTCAATTTTACAAATTACAGGAGGTCCAATGTTGCAGCGTCATTGTACCCATAACATGTATTTGTGTACTCGTTCAACCATATCCCATGACTATCGCGTTAAAATAAAATTGTCTATAATATTGAGAATTCAGAAAAAACGGCTTTTTTCCATTTTTCCGCGGATTTTTCCGGTTTCTTATCTTCTTTACGAAAAAAAGGTAAATGTGACGGGTTTTAACCGAACACACATGAACTTTTCTAAACAAATTTTTCTACCCTTGGGATAAAAGTTGAAAAAATTCGCGGAAAAATGGGGAAAACGTGGTTTTTTCCCAGCCTTCAAAACTATAAAATTGTCTTATATAGTAGAAAAATATTGTGAGACTTTTATTTATAGTGCAACACTCATATAAGCAGTTAGCGGTATGCAAAGTTATTATGAGAAAGTAAACATGACAGAAACAGAACTGCGGTATAATTGCGTGGACGGACTTTTTATGACCAACGAGACGGGAAAACGATAATTCCACGGCATTTTCGGAATTAAAAGTTTGAAGATCTCTTCTTCCGCGAAAATACGCGCGATTCCTCGTTCACAAAATGTCACCGTAGACCGATAACCTCTTTCTCTGTCGCGCGCATATTTTTAGCATCTTTCCGGCAAATAAATTATGCACGGCGATTTGCAGAAGTGTCGTTCTGCGAACATGTCCGATCGGTGTTCGCGAATAATTCATAATTCTAGTTTGTTTAAATTATTAATAAAATCGAATTTCTAAATAAAACTCACACTGTGATTCGTGCCATGTTTGATTCAAAGACACGATGAAATTAAATTGTGAAACGTACCGATGTAAACATCAAAGCGGAATAAAAATTCTGACACTATAAAAAACAAATATATCTCTCTCTATCTCTCTTGTGCATATGGTATCAATTAATTCACTATTTCTCCGTGTAACTTTGAAAAAACTGCCGCATACTCCTATCCGCATCTGCTATTTTATTTTATATATATCAGACTTTGAAACTATAAAATTTCAAAAATATTGAAATATTTTTAAAACTCTGATGAATAAAATAAAGTCGCAGGTGAACAGACGCAGAAACGTGTCCGATACATCATATAAAAAAAAAATCGAATCGAACAGAATCGAAATAAATAAAAATAAAATAATCTATCAGCAGAAATGTGCAGGATGGCCCACATAACTCTCAACAACTTGATATTTCGAAAATTATTTCATCGATTTTAAAGATTTAAGTCTTGAATTGTACGAATCTGGAGGGCCTTCAAACTGGAATATAAGTTAGTCCTCCAACTCCTGTTAGGTGAGTAGAACGGAAGTCATTTTAAAATTCGAAGTGGAAATCCTTATAAAAAGTTATGTTTTTGAGTTTTGTGAAAGAGAACAACTTAATTTTGTCGGAAATACTTTTTTGTCAGACTCTTCTATTAAAAATTATGATAATGTGAAGTTTCGATTTATAGCTACACGAAGCATTTGTGAGATCAAAATTACAACAATCTATCCTGACTTATTCAATTTATTAAATATTCAAAATTTCAATATATTATTTAATAGAAGCATCTGATAAAAAATGTTTTAGATAAAACTAAGTTTTCTTTCAAAGAATTCAAAAATATAATTATTATAAGTGTCTTCATAAAAAACTTTAAAGTTAACCTCCGTTCCATTCAAGCAACAAGAGAAACCGATCACCATTCCGGCTTGAGGGTCCTTCAAATCCATACAATCCGACACCTAACTCTTTAAAATCGATGAAATAATTCCCAAAATATCGAGTTGTTAAGAGTTATGCGAGCCACCCTGTACAACTTTTTCCACTTCATTTTTAGGAGCGAAAAATCGGGCGTTATAGAGGATTAACGCGACGCGAGACTCGTGGAGATCGTGATTGCCGCGCTCGATCGAATCACGATCGCCGGCTGAGATCGTTAGGATTTACTTCCGTGCTTCTAATAAACGTGTTCTTCAAATAGACTCCGGAAGGAGACCGCCGGGGGTGCCTGGTGCCCAAAAAGCCAGATAGAGAAAGGGGTCCGCGAGTGGCTTCAGGTCGACCTACCGGGCGCCCACGTCGTCACCGGTGTGCAGACACAGGGTCGTTACGATCACGGCCGCGGTCAAGAGTACGTCGAGGATTACACCCTGGAGTATCGACGTCCCGGTTTCACCGAGTGGCGGCGATATAAGCGCTGGGACAACAAGGAGGTAAGACGCGCGCACGCCGAGCGGCGATGTATCTGTTGATACATCCCCCCCCCTCACTTCATCCCGTGAAGAAGACGATGGGAGGCGAGTTTAATTCGCGTCGAATCGATCCGTCGGCTTTCCCACGGCTAATTAGCCGGTGAATTCGCGAGAGCGCTGTGCGGGATGATCGCGCAGCCCCGCGATCGTTATTTCGACGGGATGGATCCCCCCTCGAGCGAAAATCTCCGGGGCCGATTTCTCCCCGGGCCGGATTTTCAATTCTCCGGAGATTATGCGGGATGTTTCTTAATTGACGCTCGTTAATCACACGGCGCCGTTCCGTATGAAAGCTCGGGTCGGGACGTCTTGAGCCATTTTTTCGGCGATGTTTAATGGAGCTGGGATTGTTGAGTAAAATCCGGCTAATCGGCCCCTCGCACTAGCATATATCCGTAATAATTACAGAGGGGAAATACCAAGAGCGACATATCATTTTGTTTTTGACGTATCATTTTGTTCTAAAACATTGTTGGAGGTGTAGAATTGAAATTTATGTGCATGAATGATGCAAAGCGGCAACATTTTTCTCCCCAAATATATTGCGGTTTTTTGAAAATTATTATATATTGTCTTGTAAATAACTACTTTTTGAGAAGTTGGAGAAATGGCATTTCGAAATAGCAGATCCCAAAACCGACATATTCATGATATCTACCAGGAAATTGTCAAAAAATAAAATAAAAGCACTGAAATTATATTATTTTGTATATTTATTGTACTCTCTCTCTCTCTCTCTCTCTCTCTCTCTTTACATATTATCTTTAATACTACATAATTTTATTATGTGGACAGGGATTCCCTGACTTCTTCTTTCTGACCATCCAAAGCAAAGAAACAAAAGGTTTGTTTTTATTCCTGCACTAATTCTTAGTAAGGAGGCTGCGTTCCGATATTCACTGCCAGTATTGAAAATCTATAGTTCCATATCACGTATACTGTACATTTTTAATATTGATAGTGAATATCGGAATGTCACCTTCTTAAACTAGCGCAGCCAGTTCAGGAATGAAAAACAAAACTAATGTAAGAAAAACAAGAGAGAATCAGTCACCAGTAGCTGCAAGTGTATACCGTGAGATAATATTTCACAGCAAAGTTTAGGTGTGTCGGTTGAAAGACCAATAAACTCAGGTATGTCGGTTCACAGAACAACCTAACTCTAATCTATCTTGCTTGGTTCAGTGACAGAGGATAAAGATTGGCACAAGATCCGAAGTGATTTAAGAAATTCAGAACTTGCACTATAAGGATAATATTGCCCAATAAATTACTTTCTACTGATTTGTGACTTAAAACTTTACAAGAAGATAACTCGAGAAGAAGATCAGCAGATTGAAACATCAACTAACGCTAATAACATAACCGAACATTCTTGCAAGAATAAAACTGTCACTTCAGTTCCACCTATTGCACGCAGTAAACAAAGTTCATATACAATTGACAAACAACAATATATCGACTTTTTATCTATGTTAGTTTTTGATGTTTCTCCTCTAATAATAATAATAATAATAATAATAATAATAATAATAATAATAATAATAATAATAATAATAATAATAATAATAATAATAATAATAATAATAATAATAATAATAATAATAATAATAATAATAATAATAATAATAATAATAATAATAATAATAATAATAATAATAATAATAATAATAATAATAATAATAATAATAATAATAATAATAATAATAATAATAATAATAATAATAATAATAATAATAATAATAATAATAATAATAATAATAATAATAATAATAATAATAATAATAATAATAATAATAATAATAATAATAATAATAATAATAATAATAATAATAATAATAATAATAATAATAATAATAATAATAATAATAATAATAATAATAATAATAATAATAATAATAATAATAATAATAATAATAATAATAATAATAATAATAATAATAATAATAATAATAATAATAATAATAATAATAATAATAATAATAATAATAATAATAATAATAATAATAATAATAATAATAATAATAATAATAATAATAATAATAATAATAATAATAATAATAATAATAATAATAATAATAATAATAATAATAATAATAATAATAATAATAATAATAATATATTAGATTAGTGGATAAGGTTCGTCGTGTTTGTCAAGTAAAATAGGAAATCCAATTATCCAATTCCGAAGGATTAATAATTTTTATATGTAAAAATGAATAATATTGACCCGGTATTTTTTAGACTTCTAATTATCCTTTTAATATCCAAATTCCTTGTATGAATTTAATTACAAAATAACAGATCTTTCACACCAATTTAACAATGTTTGAATGAATACTACTTTATCATACACGTTGCATAAGAAAAAAGTGGCTCAAGATTTATCGACTCAATTCTCAATATAAAACACGTAATTAATGAACATCAGTTAAGAGACATCTTGTGCATCTTTGAAAAATTAAGTTTCAAATAATAAAGTATTCCTTCTCTTGCATAATAAAAGTCGAAGTTGAAGTCCGCCTGAAATATTAATCGAAGAGCACAGTTTCACGATTCACGATTGCTTGCCTTCCTGAGACTTATTTCGCGAAAATCCATCCTCTCTCTCTCTCTCTCTCAATCGTTTGCAATTCTAAAACTACCAATGCTCGAACATCTTTGCCCGGGAAAAATTGACTCTGAATTCGCCGGCGAATCCGTCGTTGGAATCAAGATCGCGAGACGTCCCGTATAAAAGGAAAAGAAGAGACAGAATATGGAGAAGAAAAAAAAATAGAGAGATTAACGAACAATACCGACTCTCCGAGAAGTAATATTCGCGTTAAGGGAAAACGCTTCCTGCCGCTACAATATCAAGATCCTTCTGTTTCACGGTTGATCGGATCACAATATTCCCAACTTCGAGCTCGATTTCGCGCGGCCCCCGTTCTCTCCCGCCCTCCCGTCCCCCCTTCTTCGTCCTCGCGCAGGATCCAGATCGCGGTGCGGGACGGTGAGAAGCGGCAATCGATAAGCGATCTGCTCTCGTGTGTTGGAATTGCACATAACGTCTCCGTAACATATGGTTAAGCGTCGCTAAAAGTGCAACTTCCGCTTTTCGAGAATCAGACATTTCTTCCCCGCTTCTCCCTCTCTCTCTCTCTCTCTCTCTCACACACACATACATTCTCTTTTTCCATCTTCGCGAGAAAGGGAGTCCTTTCTCTTCTCGAGCGACGATGGTGTTCTCGAATATCGCCCCCTGTTCGAGATTGAATCACGCATCGCTACGCTTTCGACATAGCCGCGCGTTTTCTCGATCGTCAAATTATTTCTGCCGCGAAAATTCGCCTTCGTATCGCGATATCCAACTTCGACGTAAATTTTCGTCTTAATTCCACCCCATCCCCCCTGACCTCCTCTATGTTTTCGGCTCTTTTTAACGAGGGGTGATAATAGTTTCACGTGTAACCCGCACGGAAGGAATGAAAGAGTAAATATTACACATAATATTATAAATATTACACTTTTACAATGAAATGTGAGAGAACGCTGATTTAATGCGCCGCAGCTGTGCTCGATAATCTCTTATCGCTCAACCGAATTAGTCGCGTCGGTCCCGAGTCGAAATTTTGGTTCGCAATAACCCCGCAAATTCCATTGAACTTGAAGGATTAACGGAGAATTTCGAGATACAACGGCTGTACGAGCTTTATTGTCCTACTTTGATGCCACGGATGTAATTTACTGCCGTTTTCTCTCCATGTTGAGTCTTATCTCAGCATTATTTAATATTCGATCCCAATTTCCTACCGACGTCTTATCTTTGTTCTTAATTTCAGTCAGCAATGTATTAATTGCATGATTGCATAGTTATATAACTTATTTATATAACTTAATTATACCACTTACTCAGCTATAAATAGAATATGTGATATAAGCGGATATCAAATAATCGAAAAAAAAATTGGAGGATAAATGGATGAAAAAAAAATAAGGTATTTCGCCCTCATCTCTCTTCCTAATTTCATTCTTCTTTCTTTTTGGCGTTGAAAGTTTCAATGAGGTTTGAAATTCATTGAAAGAGCTGATTGAGAAAAGAAGCTGTAAATGCAAAGATAACAGCTGTGTTTCCAATAATGCTATGTGTTTACCAAGAGAGATTAAATTTGAATTTCGTACAATAACAAGGCTGAACCGAAATGAAGAGAATGTGTTGGCAAATATAAACACATTCGGAATCGTGGCATCGAGGAGCATTATTAAATGCAAAAGTCAATACTTGCGAAATTTATTTATATTAGTTTCTAAGGTGTTCGTAGTTGTCAAGTATTTTACTATCTTTGAACGAGAACATAATTAATTATACACCCGAGGACCGGTGTTCGGTTGTGTGAGTCGATGTTTTTTGTCGTGTGACAGAAATACGAAGTACATAAACCGGCACAATAGCCTTAACGTTTACTAGGCTCAAAGCCGCAGGAGTTTTTCGCACGCATCATATTTACATACTCACGCATCGTGACTGTTGATTAATCGAGAAAACAGCAACGATATATCAAATATTCTTCAGAATGATATTTGTAACGTGAAACATAAAACCATGTATGAAAGAAAAAATAATATATCATTGTCATGATAAGATATCCGCCATTTTCTTAAATAATGAACAGTCATTGTGCACGAATATGTGGATATCACGCGTGTGTGATCAAAAATTCTGGTGACATCTGGCTTGATAAAAAGTTAAAACTGCTGTTAACAATTTCAATACAAGATTACCAAATAGCTCAATCAAATATTCATGGAAATATTACCGATCCCGTAAGTCGTTAAACGATAATAGAGTACGATAATAGAGCTTAAATTTTAATTCTATACTCTCGACCAATTCGTCAATTAAGACCGAAGATCTCCTGCATAATAAACGATTTCACACACCTCGAAATATATGATGTATCACCGCGCATCCCCGCTTCTCGATTCGGCATCCTGACTCCAAACTGCTCCGTCGTGGCATTCCGGATTCTCACTCGTGTCACTGACACCGACACTAACACTAACACTGATACTTGCGAAACCGCGATGTAATCTGAGAAACACGTAATTAACAATCGAGCGGCAACGAGAACACGCACTCAGAGAAAGAATTAATCATAGGAGCTAAAATCTAGCTGTGTCAGTTAAAATGCGTCTGAAATATGCACAGCTAATGTCGTTGCTACCGTAACTAAATTTATTAGCTGTCTGAATTTCGACGTTACAGAGAGAGAAATATTAGCTAGATCGCACAACATAGTATAAAAATTGTATTCACATTCCCGACTAGAAATTTATTGCTTTTCTTTTAATAGAAGCTGTCTTTAAATGTATGCTGTCTATGCTGATTTTGCCTGATATTTAGCCATTTGCTTGATTTAATGCTACATCGTATCTGAGAAACACGCTTAAGCGCTGATAGAATCGAACTCGAGACCCGTGGATCGTAAGTCCATTGATCGATTGATACGAACGTGTTTCATATTGTTTATATATGGTGTAACTAGAAAGAAAGAGAGACAAAGAGAGAGAGAGAGAGAGAGAGAGTACAGTTAATTAATCTCAGCTACTCATACTAAAAATTTCAGCTAAAAATGTTGTATCTCATAGCAAATGCATTTTACCTCTAATTAATAACTTTTCATATGACAGCAAATGTTCAAACTAGCTAACGAGATTTAGCTGCTGTTATTAAATCATTTCTCTGAGTGCGATTAAATATTTTTCGAATTAATCCGAGATTATAACCGACGCATTATGTACACATTAGCTATTCTCAACTCACTATCGTAAATGACATTTACGATAGTACGTTTGCTATCGCAGCAAAAGCACTGGCTATTGCATTTAAAATTGCTTATGATGTTGAAGTATTAAGTGTCCATATGTTATAACTAATTTACTTTACTGCAGGTAATCCTTTACGTTCTACGTACGGCTGCTCAGCCAATCAGATGGTCTTTAAATTATTTTTAGAAGCACTTTTATTGATAAAAGTAAATAGAGAATATGGATTATTATATGTGCGTGTCTCGAACACTTGGGAAAGTCCGCGAGGCATGTGCGTATGCTAAACTACGTCGGAGAGGCGAAGTGTTGACTATTGTTATCGCCGTTCAGCGGCGGGCGGTGACGTGCGCTTTTCGCCGATTGTTTCGCTTTCCTCGCGCATCGCGTGCCTTTCCACAACCGAGTATGACGTCACGAACCGGTGAGCTTGCTTTTTACGATTAGTTAGTTAGGTTACGATTGGTTAGTTACGATTTCCATCGGATGAATAAAAGATTGGGCCGGTGGAAATGTTCGTTCCATTTTTTAATCGAAACATATATATATGATATATATTTATTTATGAATAAAACTAATCAATTAAATATGCGCCATTTTGTTCGACGACCTACCATCTCTCCGGTAACTACCCGTACCTGTAGAAATTCTAGGATCTCTGAACGAAGAACTGAATTAAAAACGGTATAAATTTTCGCATCGACTCAATATTTCGCCGGATCTTAAATTAATTGGTCGGGCTGGAGTCAACGTCGCGTTAATTAACTCGTGTTTCTCCGATCGAATCGCCGTGCCTACGTGAATGTCAGTTCCAGTGTCAGTGCTGCGAGCGAGTATCCGAAGTACCACGATGGAACAGCGAGAAACAGGACGCTGGTTTAGGAAGCTAGGACGGAGGATTCGGGATACATCATGCATTTCCACGTACACACAGAGATTTCCAAGTATAATCGTAAATTAATAATGATATAAGGACCGTATAAAGTTCTGTTAATTGAAGAAATATTAGCGATTAACTAAAGAGCGTTACTGAAAATTAATCAGAGAATATTTTGAGAAGAGTAACCGAAATGCAAGGAGAAAAAAATGTAAGTGGCAGGCAACGAGAGCGGGGCGTGTGATAGTTGAATTGCAAACAGAAAGTAAAATGAAGTGTAAATGTTTTGATATTGCGAAGCACTAGACATACATAGGTGTGTAAGATCACTCGTTATGCATGATGTTTCCAAGTTTAACGAACATTTGGCGAAATTACCGAGAATAAAGAGATATTCCGAGTCGAAATTTAGGCCGACACATATGTATTTACAATTCATCATATTTAACAAATAATTATAACTTTATGAATAATTCGATTATACGATTCGCCTATATCTGTGCTTATTTTCAACAACAAAAAATATCGATCCGAATAGCCGAAATGTCCAAAGAGCCGAATCCACAAATACGAGTCTTTAATTATGTTCTCAATCGAAGAAGGTAAATAATTGATAACCGTGAACAAAATATAGATCTCAGAATAGAATGTAAACTCAGCAAGTGTTACTTTCCCTGCATCTAATAATGCTCCTTGCGTCGCGAGACATTTATTTATCTATTTTCTATTCGCTATCTATTTTTTATCTCTTTATTTGCCATCGTCTCTTCTCGCTTATAATTAGCCTTACTATTACACCGAATTCATATTTAAAAGTCCATTAGTGCACAAAAATATTATACACGTAACTGTTATATTTGCTCCTTACAGCTTCTCCGCCACCTTTGTATCTCCAAATTCTATCAAAGTAAGTCAACGTCGATAAAAAGGAAATAAGAAAAGGATCATAAGTAAAGAAAATCTATTTTATCTACCACCTATCTCATTAATTACCCGCGTTATGTTAATCATTTAATATCTGCTTATCTCACATCCTCTACCTGCAGTTACATGATCACAACATATTATTCATTGAGGTCAAGAATAAAAATTACACGCAAGCTGAATATAACAAGGTGTATGATTTGTTTTTTCACGTTTGGATGCGGAAAGCTCGCTCTCGAAGTTTGTTTCCTTTAGTTACACGCCGTGTATCGAGATAATCGCACATTAAATAACACCGAAACGAATCTTCCTCCGGGACTCAACATGGAGAGAAGAACGGTAAGTAACCATCTTGGTGCACCAAGTTGGACGGAATTTGCGGAGTTAATGCAGAATCGAAAATTATGTCTCGGGGGTTATACGAACGCGAGACTGTCACGAGGCGAGATGAGACGGGAGACGAGTCGGGGCTGAAGTACGTTACGTTACGCATTACGCTTAATTTCACGGGTAACCGAGCAGCGGGAATCGCAACGCCTCATTACAGCCGGTGTCAATCCGCGACTGGGGGTCCTACGGGTTGGAAGTACCGTTGAAAAGTTCATACCCAGCACGGCGACGTGCTAAATGTATTATCGGCGAAATACCGGCGCTGCGCGCTGTCACCCACGCACCGGACAGACGGGCGTCCCGATATTCCCGTCCGGAAAAATGAATAGCGAGCGAGCGTACACTCAGCCTGGTGTTACATTAACGGATTCCAAAATCGAGAGACGTCTATAAGTACCGGGGAAATTTCCGGTCGGAGTATCCATTATCCATTTAATCGCATTAGCGACGCGTGGTACTCACGATAAAAGTTATCGCCGTCGAATTCGTGGCTGCCTGTAAAAACTCTCTCGTCAACACCGAATATCAAAATAAAAAGAAGAGAGAGAGAGAGAGAAAGACAAAGAGGGGGAAAAAGGGAAAAGCGGAACGTGACTTCATTATTTCGCGAAGTGACGGCGCCGGTAATCGAATCTCAATTTTCGCGTCGGTCGACGCGCGAAGAGGCGCTAATTTTATTTCACTAGACCAACACAGACGCGTTATTTAGCTAATTACTATTATAAAGGGAGAAATTTCAATACATGTAACTAAATAAGCATCAGACTAAAATTCAATGACAGATGCGAGTCGAAGTAAGTAATGACTCGCGTCAAGATTAAGATTTCGAGACAGCTAATCAGCGAAAAAGAGACTTTAACGTTTCGATCAATTTGAGATAAGGTGAATATCCCAATTAGTGACAATCGCAATCTGTTCTTACACGGGAAAAATTATATCAATGATCTTATATCAATGATAGATATTCTCATATATAAGCAATAATATTATAATCTTGGAAAAGGTTTAATCTTGATTTGATTGAATTTGTATTGAATGCGAATATTACTTGTACTCAATTCAAAACTAAAAATTTTCTAAGAATATTATAATATTCGTGCTTATATATGAGAATATCTATCATTGACTTGAGACTATTTTTTTTTTTATGTAATACATAAGTCAAATAATATAGATCCATATTTATCTTAAAAAATATATATTTTGCTCTACATTTTATATATTATCTGAATAACAAGTTTCAAATAAAATTAAAAGCCATACAACAGTAACAAGATTATAATTCGCTTCTGAAAAATTTAGCAAATAATACAAATATAAATTCTTAACCTACAAACTGTCATGTTTAAATCAGTAACAGGAACGTTCATGATTCTCTACCAATTGGTGACATTTGAATCATGATTTTTGCCTGTCAATAATAGAGCTGTCTGCACGTCTGTCACCGGTGACATAAGCGCACATGTGTCACAAATTGGGGGTCAAAATCAGTGTTGAATATCACTAAATAAACATGATATTTTCATCGCTTTTAAAAACGTGTGATAAATTAATTCAAATTTTATTAATGCAATTATAGAAGGCGTTTAAACCTTCGAGCAAAATAAACGTTACGTGCTTAACACATGTATTATTATAAGAATTTATTAATTTATTTTCACGACGAAACCACTTTGTCACTAACTCGAACGTCCACCTTATTTCATAACACACCTTTTTTAGAACGAGATTTTCCCTCTCTCCCCGGCGTGTCTTTCTTCCTTGTCGTTCGCTGTTCTTACGCGCACGTCGCAATGTTTTCCGCAGGTTTTGGCCGGCAACAGCGACACCTCCACCGTCGTGTCGCACAAATTGATCCCGCCTATCTTCGCCAGCCAAATCCGGATCCTGCCGCACTCGGAGCACAGACGCACGGTGTGCCTTCGCATCGAGCTCAAAGGATGCCGGGACACGAGTAAGTACCGAGTGTCTGAGAAGGATCACGAGCGCGCGCGCTCCCGCCGACGATTATTTCGTGCATCCGCTTATCCCTCGGAATCGCCGAATTATACGGCGCGAAATTGCGGAATAAATATTTTCCGTCCGGGGGCTTTGTAGTCGGCCGGCCGGCAATCGATACGCGAAGATTGGAAAATTCATATTTGTTGTTTTCCATAAGCTAACGGCGGATCTGCCGCTAACGACTTTCGCGATCGCATTTGTTAGACCGGAAGAGAAAAAAAAGCAACGGCCGGAGTAACCGAGCTCGACGCAAATAGTCATTTCCGGCGTCAAGCATATTTCTATCGTCGCTTTGACCGCGCTAATTACAGCAGACTCGACGCTGCATCACGATCGTCACACTCGTCATGTGTGTATTCGTGCAACTGTATCGTACAGTTTGTCGCACGCTAAAACGGAGATTCTCGTGTGGCGAAACGATGATTTATGGCGCGAACTTTGCGTGGGTTGGCAGTAATATACACTGGGAGGAAAAAAAGGGAAATTCCGCTCAAATTATAGTCATCTTCGGCGCTTAGCACGTTTCCTTTTTATTCCGAGGAAAATGTGGTAGCAGCGATATGCGTATGAAATTACTATCATTAGCATCATAGCAGGAATTATTACAAGTGATTTTTCTAACTATAAATATGTCATTATGCAATTATAGTCGTAAGTATCGGGCACTTTTCTTCCGATATGCGTATAAGGTTAGCATCAGTAACACTTTCGCTGCAGAATACGGCTCTCGTCACTATAATTATTCCATTCCGCCGCAGTAACAGATAACAAACACATTTTTCTTCAGTGGGCGCGTAAAAAAACTGCCATCAATAACACAATAATAACACTTGCTGCGAAAAAAGTGGTTTTCTCCTCGAATATAATAATTTCATCACGCAATTACGCTCGGGAATGCACTTTTTATCTCGGTGTAAATCACTAAACGCATTTTTTCTCTCATGTGTGTGCATATAAATTTCTCATCAATAACGCTGTAGCGGCCGCAAAAATGACCTCTCCCCGGCTATAATTATTTCACTGGGCGATTTCACAGTCCCAAATTTCCCGCATTTTACACACTTTCCCGATGTTTGCATACAGAGTCATCATCAATAACCGCCACAGCACGACTTGCTGCAGAGGGGTTCCCGGCTATAATTACTCGAGCGTGCAAATATATAGTCGCTCAAATACCGGACACTTTTTCCCCGTGCGGAGATTTCAAGAGAGAGAGAGAGAGAGAGAGAAATGGGAGGAAGAGAGACGAAAAGGGCGAATCACGAGGACGACTCTTTCATCCGGCTGCAATTTCGGTTCGCGGTTCGCGCGGTATTCGCCGCTCGACGGCGGCGAGACAAACAAAATCGAGCCGGGGCCCCGCGCGATTAACTGCGTCGTTTAAACAAATGCACTTCGTAATACGCACTTCATGAAGCGGACAACGGCTAAACCAATTTCAACGACGATTGGCGCCGATGACGACAATTGCGGATAATGCGCTCGAGGGCACTCTTACGCGGATAGGCAAATTCATTTGATCATTAGCCGCGTCCGGCCCGTCCGTCGGATAAATTTTTGCGCGCGGAACGGCAGCGCGCGCTCTATGTTGGCGGTCTCGCTTGGATATCGAATGCCAGCCGAATTACCGTCATCGAAAATGTCATAACTGGAGGTAACGCTCCGATATCGGACACTGCGTAATATCCCGACGCGTCGCGGCCGCCGCGGTGTATCGTCGACAAATCGACCGGCGCAAGAAGCAAAAACGACAGCTCGCGCGCGAGCGAGCTTGCATTTTCATTCGAATATCGGGGGAAAACCACCAAGACCGACACATACCATTTTGTTTTCGGGCTTTGAAACCCTGGTGAAAGCGCAGAATTAAAATTTATGTGCACGCATGCAAAACGGCTACATTTCTCTGTCAAAATATGTTGTAGTTCCTTTTGTTTAATTATTACATATCGTATTGCAAATTACTACTTTGTAAAGACTTGGAAAAATGACACTTTGAGAAAACAGATCCCAAAACCGACATGTCCATGATACCTATCTGGAAATTGACCAAAAAATGAAATAAGAGCGTTGGAATCACATTATTTTGTACACTTATTATATATTCGTACATCTTAAATTATCTTTAATCTTGCAAATTTTTTTATAATGCACAAAGAAAAAGATTTTTTCGAATTGAACAAAATTCCTTCAACTGAAACAAATTCGTCTTTCGAAACAAAGCAAACGAACGAATGTTTGATTCAACAAATAGGATTGCTTGATTTCTCAAACGATAAATATTTTCACACCAAATAACATTTCTTTTGTATATTCATCCAAACATTACAATAGTTGTTCCAAGCAATAAATTACTTGAAAAAAATAACACTATATTAGAAAAATATTAAAGAACTTCTTTTTGCTCCAGTGAGGATCAATATTTAATATTATTATTATTATATAATATATTATTTAATATATTATTACGCCCCAAAAGACTCGAGACGTCCGCTGCAGAGACGTCGGGAGCGGGGAAAAGCAGGAAGGCGAAAAGCAGGAAGAATGCACCTAGACAATTATTTTTCTCATTTTAACCCTTTTTTCCTTCTTATAACATAAAATTTTCCAATCTCCCCTTATCCCTTCTCACGTCTTTTATCTACAGCAAGCCGCCAATAAGACGCGAAGCGCTACCGCTGCTAGTCCCGCCCTTATCTCTCTTTCCAGATCTTCAGGATTGACCTTCAATATTGATGTCCATAATTGAGAAAACTCAGACTCAGATTATTGATAACTCTATCCTACAGCGCTCTTACTCCTCACTTATCTTTTGGAATAGAACGATCAGTCCAAATTCGTCAAGGAGTTCCCCCCTCCCTCCCTCCTAGTTAGCCAATTCTTGAAATAGTTTAAAATAAGGTCTTAAAGAGATTTAAATAATATCCACCGTAAAGGTCGAAATAAGACCAAAGTAACTTCTTGTTTCTTAAAAACAGTGTTCAAGTAGAAAATTTAACACAAACAAACTACAAGTCCGCGTTTGAATTTTCTTATAAATTGATAGCGTAACAAGATATAGTCTAATCAAACGTACCAAGATGGGGTCTAGTCAGATTTACAAATATGACCTTACTTTGTACGAGCATTACATTTTTGTGTAGAGACTAAGTGGGCTTGCCTTTATGGATCCTAAATGCAAGTGGGGAAAAATTGTGCAGGGCCTTTCCAATCCCCATTTTAAATTTCTACCCGAGTGTATTCTGTGATATGACATTTCACAGTAAAGTTCAGGTATGTCGGTTGAAAAACCAATGAACTCAGGTATGTCGGTTCACAGAACAACCTGACTCGAATCCACCTTGCTTGGTTCACTAACGGAAGATAAAGATTGGCACAGGATCCGAAGTGATTTGAAAAGTTCAAAACTTACTCTACAAAATAGTATTATCAAATAAATTACTTACTGCTTCGTTGCTTGAAAATTTACAAGAAGATTGCTTGAGAAATACTTCAGGACATCGAGGAACTAACGCTAATGACACGTAACCAAACACGCTTGCAAACGGAAACTGCCGCTTCAGCTCCTACTGCACTCAGTAGACGCTGTTCGACAGAGTTCGTTATTTTACAGCCGAGAAACGTGAGTATGTCGACTTTCCATACCTACGTCAGTTTTGGTGCTTTTCCTTTAACGCGACTCGTTCCCCGAGATTATTATTCCGGAAATAAGATAAACGTGATCGCGCGCGGTCGAACGACGACGGCGGCGTCGCGTTGCTCAAGTGGACACCTGACGATTAATTCCCAAATTGCAATTTCATTCAATTTGCCGAGAGACGGCCGTTGAGACGGCCGGGAGAGAAGGTAGGGCGCCGCTGGCTCTAACTACAGTGCTAGATCCTATTAACGTTCGTAACAGCGTTATACGGACGAGCTCATTGCCGGGTCGGCCTGGTATATTTGTTTTCGACCTAGTTCCGGTACTTAATGTCTTTTATAGAATCAATGTGTCGTTAGAGCGCTCCTACGGCGAAGGCGCGCGAACGAGCGTGTTACGTGAAGGGGCGATAACAAGCTTACCACGAAAACTCGAAAATTCCCCCGACTTCTGCCCCGATTCTCTCCCCCCCCCCCCCNCCCCCCCCTCTCTCTCTTTATCTCTTCCCCCGTCTTTCTCTTAACCCTTGCGCCAAATAAGCGAACTTCGCTTTCTCTCTTACCTTCTCTTTCTTCCCGCTGCGGCATTTCGGGAAGGCTGAGCGAGAAACGAGCGAACGAGGGGGGGGGGGGTACGAAGAATACGGAAAAAACAGTTTGGTTAAATTGATCTGAAATAGACAAAACTAAACACACTTTGATTGGAGGAAAAAGGATTTCTAGTTTTCACGAAGTCAGATTTGGTTTTCACAACCAGATATTCTGTCCCCCCCCCCCAACCAAAGCGCGTTTAATTTATCCATTTCGGGTAAATTCAACCAGACTTTTTTTTCGTACGAAAGGGGATAACTTTATTTTGCGATAACATCGTTTTTGTAAGCGCGCACTATCTAACAGGACGATGTTGGAATACAGGGTGGTTTAGGAATATTTCGACACGTAGGAGATCCTGGCACTTTTACGACACAGCGACGGTTATATTTAGATATCGGCCGTGTGTATATCGGGAGTTAATATACGCGGCGGTCAGTTGCGGACCGAATTAAAATTGCATTAGCTTTATTTTTAGCAGTTTCCCGTTAAAAGCGCGCGAATAAATTATCATGCCGGAATTAGAACGCGTCACAATATGCTCAATATTTATAATAAGAAACGGGTTAAACATAAAACGTTATAAAACTTGTGATTATATTTAGATTGAAAGACACGCTCCGAAAAGATTGCCGCCATATATTGAACACGTTTGGCTTTATATGTGTTTACGAATATTACGCAGATTTGTGATTTCGGAAGATTGCATTTTGAGAGGCCTCGACA